CCTGGAACTTTTATTGTGATAACCCTTTTTTAAATCTTAAATTTTTCCTATATCCTTTTGTGTCTTAGTTCTCATCATTGTCAGGTAAATGTGTTTTTTTTTCTTCCTTAGTTTAATTGTGGTGTATTTCTGCTTACATTTTCCTTGTTAGGGTTAGCTTATACTTGATTAGTTTTGTTTTATATTTTTGTCTTCTTTTGGTATTTTGTGATGTGGGTTTTTCCATTTAATTCACTTCTTTTTGTTCTTATCTGTCGTATTTTTTAAATGCATTTCTTTACTTCTCAGTTCAGTTTTACCCTCAATCTCAAGTCTCTGAGTTAGTCTGCTTTTGTTCCTTCCATTTCCATCTTTTCTTCTGTTGGATATGTCTTGTACCGGTACTTCTGTTCTAGATCAGTAACGTTTTCCTGTCTTTTCCTGTCAGTTTATCAACCAGATCTACACCACCTGTTAATGCCTTTAACTCAATGTTTGCTATGCCATGTTTTGCTATGGCATGTCTGTTTGGACATGTGAGACATACATTATTAATTAAATAAATGTTTCCTCATATTCTCTCACTTAACGCTGTTTACAAGATTAGAAGGACACTTTCAAAGTACTGGAATTCATGCATTTGCGGTTTATTCATTGCAATGTTCCTTACTTATTACTGTAAATTACACTACAGTTGTTGTTTAATATGTGCAATAAGTAATTGTGTTGCAGGCAATCTTTAAAGTTTGCCGTGCATATGTTAAGGTATGTAAAGCAGTTTGGTTCCAGTCAGGGACATTTTAAGTTGAGTCTTTTTTTTATTTTTTATTCTGCTTATATTTTCTCACAGTGAATGTCGCTCTTGTGCATGTTCATCACTTCAAGACTGGTCCATTCAGTTCACTGTTTACTAAAAATATGAACACATTCAGTGAACACCATTCATTGAACGCTATCTTTGTCCTGCCTCATCCAACTTTTCTGTTGTTAAAATGTAAGTTAGCAAATTATTACCAGTCAGTACACTGAAACTGGAATCGTAAAGATAATAACAAAACTTTTCGCACACAGCCCAATTGAGGGCTAAGAATTCCAATTTATGTGTGGGATAGTTTTGTTCACTCCTCAAAAGCCCCCGACTAGCATATGCAGTCACTCCCCCCTTTACATGATAAAGCACACAACCCATCGTGACAAGCATCAGGATGCAATACATAAGGAAGTTGCAAGTTTGCAAAGGCAAGGATGGGTCCACATCTCAGCTTTTAGATTATCGTTTGGAATCCTGTTTCACACTCATTGGTCTATTGTTTTGCAAGAGAATGATTGGGACGGTGAGCCAGTTTGGACAGTTCTATTTTGTAAGCCTTTGCTCTCTGAAATTAGATGGGAGTAGCCAACTTTGAGAGCAGAGATCTTTTCAGGATCAGTTTGAACTCCGTGAGCATCCACCATGGGTGCAGGTGACGCAATGGTTAGTGCGCATGGCCCTTGTATGGAGGCCTTTTTCCTCGGCCCAACACACCTGGGTTCAAATCCGACCTGTGCTCCTCTGCTGCATGTCTCTCCCCCTCTCTCATACCACCTTTCCTGTCAGCCTACAGTCAGAAAAATGAACCACTAGTGCTGTAAAAACTCAAAAAAAAAGAGAAAGAGAGAGAGAGAGAGAAAAAAAAGGGATTGAAGGGATCTGACCCAAGAGAACCAACCAAACCAAGCAGTCTTTTGCAAAAGCATTTAAAATTCACCGGTAAAAAAAAAAAAAGTTAAATAAACAGGTTAAAGTCCTGTAAGGTAAAGTCCTGTAAACACACTAAAAAAGTTAAACTGGATGCAAGACAAATTAAGAGGGGAGATCCTAGAGGGTATGAAAAGTTTATTGATCCAATTGATTTAAAATACTTGCAGAAGTGGAAGGGAAAGTATAAAATAGATCATAAATAAATAAAGAGGTCAAAATATCTTGGTGTTTCTTAATACATCCGCAAAGTAGACAGGAGGTTTTTACAAAAAATAAAAAGATTTAATGTTATGTTCATCCGTCCAGAAAATAATGAAACACAGTATAGAGGAAGACAGCCTCAACCAGCACGAGGAGGTGTGGCGACAGGTGGGGCAGCTGGTGAAGCGGCGACTGCAGTGCACCAGCATCTGTTTTGTGTCGCACAATATTAGGTTCTAAACAAAAAAAGAACACGCCAAAAAAGGTCTTCAGTCAAGCAAGCTGTGGTAGTGAATGAAGAAGATAGACCACAAACACCATAAATCCCTTAACCCCCCCAGACATATTCCAAATCTGTACCCAGACTTGGATGAACTGAGTAAAGCAGATCATCAATTATCTCCAGAATATTTGCAGGTCACAAATCCTAATGTAGGAGATCAGCAGCCTCCAACAATCCCAGTTTTCCGCCTGTGGTTGTTAGAGGAAGCTAGAAAGGCTGTGGAAGGTGTAATTTCTCCACAGAAAGAATCAGCAATATGGATCCATAACATGGAGGGAAATTATAACTAATATTGTTTAAATGGGCATGAGTTTGGACAAGCCTTACAGTTATCATTGGGAAAACATTGGGGAAAAATAAGGGCGAATTATACAGGCAGAACCCCACAAGACGTAATATTTTAACATCAAGCACAAATTGGAGACGAACAGAAAAAGCAATGGACCGCTGTGGCAGACGCTGCTAACCTAGCAAAAACAGGGTTCCCATGGAGATCTATCTGTTTCAGTCCAGACCAGCTGAAGGAGAGAGGAAAGGTTCATCCTCTCCACTGCCATAAAGATTTGACTGGGTGATATCCCAAACCACCATGTTGACAACCAGCTCTGCAGCATAACAAGACAGATTGCTATGTGTGATCTGTCGTGTGTAAGTCTGCCAAGCCGGCTACCTTATACATAACACCCATGAACGCCTCACAGACTTTTTGTTTTGCATCATGTGCATTCCAGTTTATGCGTTCAGACCCTATGATTCTATATGGGGTTCAGACTGGAGCACAGCTAACAAAATAGGACTTTCACTTTTCCCACGGTTGGGGGTTGGCAAATCCATGTTGATGATCAAGACACTGCACTATGCAATGATAGACACCAATAAAAGACAAAACAAACAAGTGAAATGCGTTTAATAGTACTGCAAAACAGAACAGTTGTGGACATGTTACTTCTAGCCAAGGCGGTGTGTGCCTGATGATTAAAACTTCCTGTTGTACATACTTTTCTGATGTTAATGAAACTCATGTTACTCAAGCTAGGTCTGCCTTAAAGAATCGGCAACAAGCCATGTGCCAGGGCGCTGTTCCTCTAAGAATGACCTTTCCAACCCAGTCTCATGGGAAAATGTACCTCCACTACGAAATCTCGGCCATGTTTATACCAAAACGTTACAGTTTCACATTATCTTGAAAAATCTTTGCAAGAAATGAACAAGCAAGTGAATATGTACATTCCCTGAGTAAATATTCTAACAACAAACTATACATTTCTCACTAGAAATGTAATCAAAATTCATTTTAATGCAAAAACAAACTCAAGTTATTAATCTTTTCACAAAAAAATAAGCGAATGTCGGCCATATATATAATTTTTTCTTCTCCCAGCTGGAATCTTGAAAGTCACGTGACTAGGACGCAAAACAATAGAAAGGGTATAGGCAGAAGAAATGTAACAGTACCACAAAAAAATGGCCATTAATGTACCTCCACTACGTTTTGCAGTGTTGACCGACGTAGTGGAGGTACATTTTCCCATGAGACTGGGTTGACCTTTCTAAATCCCGGCTCATATCAGGACTGTGGTGACCACTCTTGCTAAAAATAATGACACCTTTTATCAATATTCTTATAATTTTTTGTGTTTTTACTGCCTATGTAATCCCATGCCTAAAATCTATTGTTGCTAAAACTATGGGAAATGAAATGTTTCAATATCAAATGCTTACACTAATCCCTCTAGAAGAAGTTAAACCTGTAGTTTAAATTTTACCTTATTAAATGCTTAACAAAATGACAGTCTCATTGAAAATGCGCCATTCAAGTAACGAGTACTTAAAATAGGTTAAAGTTAAGCTTCACTTGTAAATAAAATGATAAATAGGATGGAACTGTTAGAAAAATGTGAATATTATTATGTTATTTGTATTAAGTTACAGGCGTTTGGCCTGCTAGGAATATGACGTTGTTTTTAATTTCAAACAGGGGAACAAATGGTTCTCCCAGAAAAGGAAGAGTTATGCTTTATCGAGCCGTGTGATGACTTATCACCACCTGCAATAAAACTGCACAAGGAAGTGTCATGCTTAATCTTGTGCAAACTTTTGACGTATAAGAGAGCAAAGTACAGAAATAATTAATGTGTAATCCAGTACAGTCATATCTACATTTTTGCAGTCATATAATAGATGTTCTGTGACACTGTCTGAGCAGCAGAAACAGAAATAACCTCTAGGATTTTTTTTTTATCTGGGTAAAAGAAATCCTGAGGCTTTCAGTGGAAAACAGTCTGTGACCTATTGTAATCACATCTCATAGCTACAAAATCAACACTGATTATGATATAAATGTAAGTCATCTTAAATCCATGCAAAATGTAACAAAAATACAATGTATTTTCATGTGTGTGTAATAAGGATATATTTTGTTATATTAACTGTTAGACAAATACATAAAATTGAAGTTAATGTTTTGGAGGTGCAAATGGCCTAAGTAGCAAATAACCAGTGATCTGCAGGTGAGATGCAGTCTCTATTAATTAGTTTAAAATTCCACTACAACCCTTTGACAATAGATGTCAAAAGTACTCACATTCTTTACATACATAAAAGCACAGATACCTGTGAAAAAATGACTGTGCTAAAAGTACAAACTGATATCCTTTACTTCAGCAAAGTAGAATGATAGGTTCTACACTGCATTTAGGTACAAAAGTAAAATAAATTTTTTTTTGCTTAAATTATACAAAATAACTTTTAAGGCGTCTGACTAAATGTAAACTGTTATGATCATTGAGACTGTACCTTGCTGCTATGTGTTTTTGTTCTGCAGTTCAGGGAGCTTCAGCAGAGATACCCATCTAGCAGAGAGCTGCTCATTGCTTGTTCTTCTGAGAATATCATCCTCAGGTGGGGTGGTTTCTCTTTTGAATTTCTCCTCCTATGACACCGCCTATTTCCGATTAGTTTCAAATCACCAAAGGGAAACCTGTTGGTTTTCATTCTATAAATATCCTAAAGGGCACCCGGTAAGTGTTGTTACAGAGTAGTTCCTAGAAACAAATGCTGATTTGAAAGTTGAAAGACAGCAGTTCTTAGAAATCTTATTTTCACAGACACTCTTCCCTTGTGCAACTCCTTTATATGGCACTCAGTGAAATACTTAGAAAACCCCCCACAAAACATTAAGCTAAGACAAGACCTTATTACTTTTGTGACATTTAAAAATATGTATATTTAATGGAAAAAATCAAGGTCTATGTAATGACAAAAAATGGTCAATTGATAACATGTTACAAAAAATAACAAAGGGTACATTCATGAAAAACACTCAGAGGGAAAGAAACACTTTATATATATATATATATATAATGTTAAATCATTAATGCTGATACAGTCAACTTGAGTTTCAACTTTTAAGTTAGCTTGTTAACCTTTTAACTGTTCAATTAGCTTTTTAACTTTTCCACTTAGGTTTTTACCTTTTTAACTTATTAACTTTTCTTTTCAATTTAATGTACAAAGGGTGACATATCATCCAAAGGATCATTTGATTGGTAAAAATTATGTGTGCTGCCACGTAGTAGTGGTAGTATCTTTGCTGTTTGGCTGGATTTACAATCTTGTGCTTCTAGCTCACTGGTTGATAGGGATAAATCTATTTATTAGGGTTATGCAAGTGACACAAAAATGGTTACTTGCCCTATAATCAGGGTATCTGCTGTATGCAATCATGAAGCTTCTTGTTTTACTCAGATTTGTATTAAGAAGAGAGAAAATATTTGGAATTAATCTCAAGAAAAAAAACAGCACTCTTCTTGAGTGCTCTAACCTCTATGCATGTATTAACATAAAGACTCAATGTGTTGTACTGCCAACCACACAGTGGCCTATCTTTATTGCTCTAGAGCTATGCTGCTTGATTAATGCTCATACAAGCTTATAAGAAAGCAAAGTACAGAAATAATTTATGTGCCTTTAAGTACAAAGTAATTTATATTTTTGTTAATATGTCCAGAAAACTTTTTAAGGATGTAAAATATGAATGTTGAATGTTTCCATAATCAATATATGGACTAATCTCATCTTCCAGCAGGTGTGCACAATCATAACATTTCCCGAATGTTTCTGCACAATTAATTTTTCCTGTGATAGTAAATTAACAGCAGAAGGTTGGTGATTTAAACTATAATATTTTAGCAAGATCATGTAGATTTTGAAATTATTATTTGGATAATATTTGAAATATCAGTTTGTATTATGTGAACTTTGCAACTCGGGGTCAAAACATTTTAGACGTAGTCTACTTTAATTTCAAAGATGCAAGCAGGTCCCCGCCTCGACATCGGCTCATCAGATCACTTTTCTTTCATGCAAATTCCTGCATCCAGGCCCCAGCTAATCAGGGCAAAACCAACCGTTAGGGAAGTCAGAGTGTGGTCTGCTGGGGCTTTGGAGAAACTTTAGGATTGTTTTCGATGCTCTGATTGGAACATGTTTAAAGCTGCAGCAACCTATGACAACAAAATAAATATAGATGAGTATACCATGACTGTGTCAGCCTACATCAACAAATGCGTTGAGGATGTCAGCATCACAAAGAACATCACGACCCGGGCCAACCAACGACCCTGGTTGAATGGGGAGGTTCAGAAATCGCTAAAAGCATATAACTCAACTTTCAACTCTGGTGACAGAGAGGCACTGAGGACAGGGCATGCCAACTTTAACCATGCCATTAGATCAGCGAAGCAGAACCACCTGTTTATACCACCTCACTGGTCAAAAGGACAAAAAAGAGCATGTACTTCCTATGGAGGATGAGGAGAGCCCACCTGCCCCCCACCCATCCTCACCGCCTTCTACAGAATCAAAAATTTGATTCATGTCACCAAATTGTGACCATGTGTGTGTGCGTGCGTGTGTTCTGAAGTCTCTAAGAGCAGTCCTTAGTAAGTGAAAGGTGTGAATAATTTTTTTTTAATGGGATTTTTTTGCATGTGAAGGCTTTTTTAATTATTATTAATAGTTATTTTTTTTAATTATTATAAATCTGGTCAATATAAATGCCATTATCGATGTATGTATGATGCTGTATGTATTTTACTATAACATGCCCAGATACTGTAAGGGTGATAATAAGCATTTGAGGTATATCCTGGTACAATGCATCTCTCCCCTTGAGGTTAATGTTTATTGCACGCTGTCCCTGTTTCTTTAAATGAATAAACTAAACTAAATAAATTAAACTGGCTAAACTAAATAAATTAAACTGGCTAGTTGAATAATTCCTAAAACTAAATGTTTGATTTGTAAAACTGTTAACAGCTGATTTTAATGCTTCATTTTTCAACAGCATCAAAACACAACGCAACAAAGACCCTCAAAAAATAAAAGACTTAAGAATTGGCCTTTGTATATAATTGTTGCAAAACACAGCTTTTTAGATTGATCATAACAATTTTTTCTTTTTCTAATTCTAAAAAAATGTGTCAAACTATTGGGAAATTAGGCTACTTAAGACTAGTAGAGTTTACTTTCCAGCAGGAAAGAGAGCCTAACAGCAAAAGATAGAATAATTCAAAAGGATTTCAGGTACTGGAATATTGTCGACCATCTGTACAAAGACTTGAGCATATATGTTAACTGATTCTCTCCATTCATTCTGACTGAGCTGAATCTATCTTATAAAGAATAAAATGTAAAGATCTGATGGAGACTTAACTAAAGAAGGGATGCTATTAGAAATGCAGTAAAATGTGTTTTTACAAAGAGCTGACTGGATGACTGGAATTATATGCCAGTCACATCATTCAGATTTTAATCTGTAAAGTAGGTACTTTCATAAGAGTATTTGTCTAAGGTCAATGTTGGTCACTATATTTGATGTTTTGATGAAGGTGTTTTAAAAATGCTGCTAAAAGAGAGGATGAGGGAGAAAGTAAGCAAAAGAGAAAGATAATTAAGTCTAAAAAAAATATGGGGAACAGAGGAGAGGAAGAGAATAAATCAGTAAAATAAAATATATATATATATATATATATATATATATATATATATATATATATATATATATATATATATATATATATATTTTTTTTTTTTTTTTTTTTTTACACATCAAAAGACTCAAACTGAATACAGTAGGCGGATTTACTAAATAATGTACAGATGGTGGCGGTATTCACCCGACGTTTTATCGATCCACCAATGAGAAGATAGAAGAAGTACCTTACATGGCCACTAGGGGGCACCTTCAAACGCTCATATCGCGCTTGTCTTTTTCCCCCCATTATCTCATATGTCTTTCGTGAGCCACCGTACCTCCTGTCTGATCTGCGCATGCTCTATGTGTACAGGCGATTCAAATGATTCAAGTGTGATATATATTTTTTTAATTAATAAACCAAGCAGAGCACCAAAAATGTCTGTTCAACCATCGAACCCCAACAATCCGATTGTCTTCTTCGACATCACCATCGGAGGACAGGTAGGAACCGGTTCCAGGCAACGTCTTTTATCAACCTGAACCAAGCATGATGTGCAGAGTACTTCATCTGGGTAAAATGTGTCCAGACTACTTTTATTCAATGTCTGTCAGGAGATCACCTACTTTCTTTACTATTTCTCCTTTGCTGGGGAAAATAAAAGCTGTGTTAACCAGAGAAATAAAGTTAGCTGTGTTAAAGTAGCTATCATCCCTCTTTGTCACTGTAATAAATATTTAAGGAGCTTTTAAAAAGGCTATAATAGTATAGAAAATCAATTTATTGCCCCACAATAGGGGAATTCTAGTGTTATATCCATATTAGATCACAGAAAAATGGTCACACAAATGTGGACCGTAGAAAAATATATAAGAATAACATAATAGTGAAGAGTTATAAAATAATGTCCCTTAGCAAAAAGTAGTTTATTCAAGTATACTAAAAGTGCACTAATTTCATACTTAAAATCAGGCAGTGAGCTTAGAGTTTACTTATTCTAAACTATGTTTCATATACTTAACGATGGTATAGTGAAGTGTACTTGACTTACACTGAGAAGTATAAAAAGTGTTTACTAAAGTATACTTTAGTAAAGTTAAAAATTTCCCAATTTAGTATACTTCAAGTATACTACTTTTTTCTAAGGGGTACTGTAAAGTGTTTTAACAATATAAAACTGTGCATCTGGAGAATAAATAACCAATATGCAGCCATGGACATTTTTATAATATGGATATTTTAAAATAGCAGCAACATCAGAGAGGTGCAAAATAACAGCAGCATGTTATTTAACTCACTAATGTAGAAAACCAGCATTAATGTAACAACTTCTTTAGGATGTTGGGAACAGTGGTGGTTATAGCGTCTTACAGCTGCAGGGAGGAAGGATCTGTGATAACACACCCTGGTGCATTTAGGGTGCAGCAGTCTGTCACTGAAGGAGCTTTCCAGTTCTGCAACAGCTTCATGCATGGGGGTGGGAGACATTATCTAACAGAAGTGTTAATTTAGTTTGGATCCATTTGATTTCCACCTCCTGTGCTGAGTCTGGAGGGCATTCGATCAGAGAGCTGGCCTTCCTGATCAGCTTATCTGGCTGCCGAATACGAAGATAAGTTGACATTAAACATATATCCGTTATCTTGACCTCCCCATGAATAATCCTCATAGGCTTAAAAAAGTACTTCTCCTAGTTTCCTAAATTTAATAAGGTTAACATGAAAGATGACACCGAGTTGGGCCTAGTAGATGGGCCACCATAGATATCCAAGACTTAGATTACTTTTATTATACTTTTGTATATACAGAGTGTATACAAAACAAAATGTTTATTTTTATTCGGTTCTGGCGATTAAACTATCACTGGTGCCATTACTGTTTTTAAATCCACAGGGAGAAAACTACATTAAGTATTACATTTCAGATTTCTGAACTGTTTATTTGAATTGTTAAGCCATTTTTTTTTATGTTAGTCAAAATATATTTTTAGGTATATATATATATATATATATATATATATATATATATATATATATATATATATATATATNTATATATATATATATATATATATATATATATATATATATATATATATATAACTGGATTTTGGATAGGCATTATTAAAATTTAGATATCTGAAATTCCGATTTAACTAGTCATATATCAATAGCTGATAAGGCCATTTCTACTAGTAGAAATATATTATTCATTTCAAGAATTGGATTTCTGGATATCTAGGATTTTATATTCATTTTTAATACCTTAAATTTTCATTGTGACTAGTAGTAACTGGATTATGGAGATCAGACATTAGAGTTTATCCTCGTGAGCATTTAGTTTTAGACATCCAAAATGTTTATTTTAGATAGGAAAAATTTTATTTTAGGTACCTGGACATACAAGCCCAATAAACATTATTGGGAAAATTTATGTAATTTTGTACTACAGTAGTAAGAATTACATTTCAGATATTGGAAATGTTTATTTTGAATGGGAAAAATTCTATTAAAGATATCTGAAATACTTATCCGGTCAAACAAATATGTGTTAAAACAGCCACTTGGATAAGTAAAAATTTGTACATATATGAAATGTAGTTCTTACTAGTATAAATATGATTACTTAAAATGAAATTTCTACTTGCAGAAATGTAATTAGTGATATCTACAATACAGTTCTGACTAGGAACATTGTAATCTTGACTAGGTACAATGCTTTAGCGTTTCCTGTCAGCCTGCTGTCGAAACAAAATGAGCCACTAGTGCCATAAAAACTTAAAAAAAAAAGAAATGTGACTAGTCAGCCTGCCTTTTTTATGTTAAAACGGAGCCCCATTATTCTTTTGGAAGTTAGTCAAATATATTTGAAGTATCTAAAACTTAGATGGGCATTATTAAAATTTCAGTTTAACAAGTAATATAACAACATTTGACAAGAACATTTCCACTAGTAGAAATATAGTTTCAATGTCTTAGATTTCTGGATTTCTAGAATGTTATATTCATTTTTGATATCCGAAATTGTCATTATGACTGGTAGCAACTTGATTATGGAGATCTGAAATTAGTGTTCATCCTTCATCCTAAATCAGTTTTAGATAGTAAAAATGTAATTTAAGATATCCAAAATGTAAATTTTGACTAAGAAAAAAATGCTTTTTGATATCTACAATATATGTATTCTATCAAGATAATAAATGTCGAAACGGCCATTTAAAATTTATAAAGATTTCTAAGTATTTGAATTTTTATACTAACTATTTTTTGCATCAAGAAATTTAGTTTTTGCTGGCAAAAAATGTAATTTAGGAAGTCTCTGTCTACAGTTCTGACTTGTAGGCATGTAGTTTTGATCAGGAAGAATCTTATTTTAGGGATCTACAAATGGAACTAAAGAGAGGATAGTGCTTCTAATAAATTTCAAAACGGTCTGCCATAGTTGTAACATTTCCAAAGGTTGTGGAATAAGACAAGGGCGTCCACAAGCAGGAAACTGGAAAGCTATCACCTAGATCATTCTACCATTTGTAGAATGTGATATAGATGTGTACTAAGCTGCACTGTTTTAACTAATAGGAAGATTCACCTTTAGTAGCCAAGTTTCAACCTCTAGAGGTCAGCACTATGAAGGTTTTAGGCCAAACGATGCACAACCTAACAAGTTTAGACCAGGTATATTTAACTAAATAAAGATGCAACCCTAAAGACCAATTTATCTGCACAAAATGTTGATTTAGGTCAGTTATGATGTCAATGTTCCTAAGTTTTCTTTTATATTCAGAATTAAGTTATCAGTCTGATTGTATTTTATTGATCAGCCAATAATTCATTTATAAGCAGCAATTTTATATCATAAAATCTCTTATATCAAATGATTTTCCCATACCATTGTTGTTATTACCGGTATTTTCTTTTTTGCAGTATGCTGAATTTAAAAAGCACATTGTTGTATCTTAACTTATTGCGCCAGTTTATTCAGTCAGTTAAACACTGACTGGATAAACAAAACATTTTCTCACACATTAAAAAAATGAAATAGAAGTCTTATGTTAAAAATGATTTATAACCCCCTATAAAGACTTATAACACACACCTGTAGCAATAATCTGCAAAGCAAAATAAAGTCAATTATTGAACCTCCTCATCTGTGTATAACTTATGCAGTGAAGTCAGGTGAATATAATGTATTTAAGCAGATCATGTTTTCACAATAATAAACATTTTCTCTCTAATATAATTTTATGATCAATCCTGTAGGCCCTTAAGCCCTATTTCTAATCGGGCCTCTATGCTTGACCCTTTAGTCAGAAAAATAAAGGCCTGCATAGATAAGACCATGTAAAAAAAAAAAAAAAGAAAAGAAAAATTCAGGATCTGAATTTCAGCTGTGTTGAATGTGGCCAGTACAGCAGAACATATCAGCTAATAAAACATTTAAAGACCATCAAAAGCAAACAAAAGAATTTGATGATGCTGATCAGCGATTGAGGATAAATTTGGATTGTGTTGGATTGTAAATTTTACAGTATTCTACAAAGAAGGGTATTACATGCTGTAACTAGATTATCAATGAACACTGGTTAAAAGCATTTAATCTTTGTCACTTGTAGATAAATTACATCTCCCAATCTAATGTGACTAAATTAAGTGTCCTATTAAAAAGAAGTCTATTTCTGTGAAGACTTAGTTCCCTGTATTGTGTGCTGGTAGGCCAGGAGTCATAATCCTTAATCTCTACCTCTAGGTTGTCTGCTGTTGCCCACACGTTGCTTCATCTGCTTGCACAAGTCTATTCTGTACACCCAGAACCAAACACAGAGATGCAACATTCAGTTCTTAGTATTTATTACCGTAATCTGGAAGAAACTGAGAAAACAATGAAGGAGTTTAAAAGCTCTATTTGTTTTGGTTCAAACAAAATGAAAGTAAGGACTGCTCCATTTCCCCTAAAACGTTGGTTCAGAGTTCAAAGCGCTGGTATGATGGTGGTGTTGGGAGTGGTTTTACCTTTTGCACTCTGAACTCTAAACCAACTAGGGGGAAATGGAGCAGTCCTTAATTTCAATGTTGTGCTTAAAAAAACAAAACAAAAGACCTTTGATACATTTTCATTGTTTTATAGTGTTTTATGGTGTTTTTTTATTGTGCTTTACAACACTATAACAGCAACTGGACGGCAAAAAGAGTTTGGTCTTGAGAAAAGAAAGAAGAGGTCTTTAACCTTAATGTAAGATTAAGGTTAAAAGATTATTAAATATTAAGAACTGATTGTTTGTTCTCAGGGTTTGGTTCTTGGCATGCAGAAAAGACTTGTGCAGAGTCTGGACAAAGGCAGGCAATCTAGAGGTGGGGGTTTAGGTTTAAGGCTCCTGAGGCCTGTTTACCAAGGCAGGTTTAACCAAACACTCTGAATTGATCTAACCTAAGGTTGGAAACTGTAAGGTTTTGGTTTCATAAAGGCTGTTTGAGTTCTTTAATCTACTCTCAGTAGATCCACTCAG